ACCTTGGAAACCCAAGGAGGGTCACTGTGAGTCGGATCCGACTCGATGGCAGTGTGTTTGGTTTGGTTTGGTTGAGTTGGTTTCGACTCCTGGCAGCCTTATGTATAACAGAACAAAACGTTGCCCAGTTGTGTGCCATCTCCACAGTCGTTGCTCTGTTTGAGCCCTTTTTTGCTCAGTTCAAAGAAGAGGAAATATAAAGGAGCAGTGGACATATAAAAACTACTTTCTTGTGGGAAGAGAGCTGTTACATTGTGGGAAATTGTAGTCAATGTCATGAGGCAAAGTGTATGTGAACTGCTGTATGGAAAATGAATTTGCTGTGTAAACTTTCACGCAAATCACAATAAAAAAAATCTTTTTTAGTCTTTTTAAATGCTTTCTTCCTAAAGAAGCACTCATTTATATGTACAGAAAAGCTTAGATGAAATTGTTCTTTGCTATGTTATTTGTAATAGTGAAAAAATATAGTCAACCCAGATGTCCAAGAAAAGAAAATGGTTAAACATAGTATGTACATACACACACTTACATACATACACTATGAAATATTATCTAGCAGTGAAAAATGGTAGATCTATAGATTGTTGTATTTGTTATGTACTATGAAGTCAGACCCCTCCTTAGATATCCAAGGCGATATTACTACGGAAGTAGATTGCCCAACCTTCCTTCCCAGGAGTGCCTGGTGGGTTTGAACCACCAGCCTTCTGGTTAGCGCTCAAATGCCTTAGGCACTATGCTACCAGAGCTCCCAGATCTATAGGTAGTGAAATTTAAATACCTTCAAATATCTCCAAAGTGAAAAGAACAAATTCTGGGCCATATATATCATATTTTATCATTTATGTGAAAAACAAAAGATCCTGCTTTTTTCTCTTTGTGTGTGTATAAAATGCATAGGAATGCAATCTGTAACGATCTACACCAAACCTCTAACTTTAGTTACCACTAGGAGAAAGAAGGCCTGGGAGATGTGGTGATGAGAAGAAAGTACTTAGGCTTTATCTGTGTTGGGTGGATTTTTAAAAATATTACTATGTATCACTTATCTCATTAAAAATTTAATAAAAAAATGCCTGCTGCTCTGCCTCAGGCAGAAGTTCAGAATCCTTGGTATAGCATAGAAAGATCCTCACGTGACAGTGTAGAAAGACCCTATGTTTTTCACCCCCAGTGAACTTCACACCATTGTCAAACACACCAAAATCTCTCACAGCTCCATGGTGCTTTCTCTGTGATTAGAGTCATACAAAAGAAAGCATCCTCACTCTTACTCAGTAACTCACCTCAGGATGTATTCCATAGACCTGTACACGATCTTGTCAGCCAGATAGCACCTTACATCATTGAAAATTTGGTTGTGCTTCCTTGTACTTTGTCTCAGAGACTGTGCCTAGTTAGTATTCTCTGCCCATCTGTTTTATACACTTTGTGGGCCAGGAACCATTTTCTTCACGTTTCTCAAGATATCTTCAGAAAGGCCTCCTATACCATGTAAAATTCCCCTGATACCATATGTCCCTTAGAGAATCAGCTCGATTTTAGGTGTGGCTTACTTTGAAGACTTGACTTTGGCCAGGTCCTAGTCAGACTGTTTCCATAAGAATAAAACTAGATTTAATCTTGGTTACTCCTTTGAGACTGTTTTTAAGCCTTCTCTATTTTGGAGTTTACTAATGCTTCACCATTCTCTGCTTTAGTTTCATCACGCTGGATGCTGGCATTTTCAACCTATTTCCAGTACTTTAAATAGTGAGGGAAATCTGCTGTTGTATTTCAGTTGCACAATTTATATATATATATATATATATATATATATATAATGCAGTTTCTTTTGATGTAAATTTGAATTATGTAAAATTAAAACAGTAGGGGATATAGTGAAAGTATTAATAAATCCTCACCTCAATTTTAAAATAAAAGTTGAGAAGAATTGCATCATTTTAAAGCTAGCAGACTTGAAGAAGTAAACTGTGTTTAAGTTACATCCATAGGGCAGCATCATTCTGGCCAGTGAGCTCAGGTATCCAACTTCTTGGGCAGTATTCTGTGGTTCACTGTGTAGGAACTAATGCATGTAGTTTTAGTGTCTTGTTTCTCTGTTATTTTAACATCTATTTTTTTTTATATAACTTGAAATATTTTTACATGCAGTTATAATATCACCTGTGTAGTGCCTAAGGCACTTGACTGCTAACTAGAAGGCTGGCGGTTCAAATCCACCAGCCACTCCTCGGAAGGAAGATGGGGCAATCTACTTCCATAGTAATACTGCCTCGGAAACCCAAGGAGGGGTCGCTATGAGTTGGGTCCGACTCGACGTCACATAACAACAACAATAGCAAGCAGGCTTAGGTGTTGAGGTACTTGGGGTAGTGTAAAAACTAGCACTTGACAATAAATAAGTTAGGAATGGAATTTAGATGCAGAAGGAAGGTTGGGCAATCCTACTTCCATAGTGATACTGCCTCGGAAACCCAAGGAGGGGTCGCTATGAGTCGGGGCCGACTCGACGGCAAAGAACACAACAACAACAACAACATAGCATGTTGACCATCCAACCGCCATAATATGCTGTGCTGTTAATTTAGGAATGAGAACTCTGTAAACTGCTGGAGATGATGTCTGGAAAGTAAAAGAGCATTGAAATAAACATATTCTGGTGATGTAGATCTCTGCCTGCTGGGAATGTATTTATTCCTGTGGGAAAACTAAGTTTAACACTTTGCATATATTGAAGTATTCAGAGTCTTCAGAAACAAATCTGTTGCATAGCATGCAGCTGTCTTATTCTTTGGGTTTTTCTTAATAAATAAATTATTATATGTCAGTTTAAAAATCTCATTTTAAAACACTTTGGAGCCAACAAAACAAAACACTTTGGGGCCAGCATAACAGGTTGTGATCTTTAAAGTATAGAATGTGAGTGAAGCTTCTGAATAGGCCTCACCTACTACTTAATAACCAGCTTAATAACTTCAAGCCATCCTTTCTAGATTTTTTTTTTTTATACATATAAAGTTTCTAATTCTAATGCTGTATGTTTAAGGTCGTAGGGACATTTAGGACAAACATTTATCATCCTGGAACAGAATATTAGAATTAGAAAGAATCTTAGAGATCATTTTACAAGGGGGGAAACAGATGGTTAGAAAGAGCAGCTAAGAGGCACACAGATTTCAACTGTGTTTTAATATACATATGTTTTATTTAAAACTTTATTAAAATTTTTGTGTGTGTGACTTGGGTGAACGTTTACAGAGCAAATTCATTTTCCATACAGCAGTTCACGGTACACTTTGTCTGGTGACATGACTGCAGTTTACCACAATGTAACTAACAGCTCCCTTCCTACTTCCTCCCCATAGTTATCTCTTCCCTGTGTCCTCCCCTCCATGTATTCCTGCCCTATGAGCTGCATTTTCATATTTTATGGTGTATTTCAATTTGTATTTCATTTGAATTTTCTGATAGCCTTTCCTTCCTCTTTATTGCTGTATATGTATTGGATTTCCCCCACACACACACACACCATGAAAATAAGCTGAAGTTGGATCCATTGACAAGAGGGTAAGATACGGAAGTGTCTATTATACTTTAAAAAAAAATCCATATGGCCTTTTTTTTCCTATTTAAGACTTTTTGGATATATAATATTGTAATTAGATTTTTTTTCTATGAGTTCTTCATACAAATAACAAAATTTTGGTGAAATTGTTCTTTATGGAGTTTTTCTTTCTTCTTTTCAAGATAATGCATATGGTAAAACTTTACGGCAACACCATGGCTGGGTCGTTCGAGGGGTTTTTGCGGTAAGATCTGTCTGCTTCTTAATGTTTTACTAGTCATAAGCAAAGTGTATGTGTGTGTGTGTGTGTGTGCTTTGTTTGTTTTGTTTCATTTTTTTTTTTTTTTAATTTTATTTTGATTTGGGTGAAGATTTACAGAGTAAATTCACTTTTCATACAGTAGTTCACATAATATACTTTGTCTCATGTCATTGACCAAAATTTACAATGCAACAGCTCCCCTCCCACTTCCTCCCCATGTTTCATTTGTTTTTAAGAAAAAGAAATGATGTTGCTTATTCCCTTTAAGTCTTTAAGCCTTTGGTGTGTGCAAATAAAAAGTATCTAGAAAGAACAAAGAGCTTTTGTGGCACAGTGGTTAAAACCATTGGCTACTAACCAAAAGATTGGTGGTTCGAACCTACCAGCTCCTCTGCAGGAGAATGATAAGGCAGTCTGTTTCCATAAAGATTTACAGCCTTGCGGCAGTTCTACTCTGTCCTGTAGGGTCACTATGAGTCAGAATCGATTTGTTGGCAGTAGGTTTTTGGTTTAGAATAGAAATGATGGCTTAGTGCCTAAGGCATGTGACTGCTAACCAGAGGGCTGGCGGTTCAAACCCACCAGTCACTCCTCAGAATGAAGGTTGAGCAGTCTACGTCTATAGTGATACTGCCTTGGAAATCCAAGGAGGGGTTGCTATGAGTTGGATCTGACTCCACAGCAGTGAGTTTGGTTTTGGTTTGCTCTCATCTAATTCCAATGATATTGTTGAAATTTACCCAGAAGTGGTTACCTATCAGGTAGTATTAGGGCAGAGGTAGACAGGAGTTGCTGTGGAGTTTGAACTGCCAACCTTCTGGTTAGCAGTCAAATGCCTTAGGCACTTCACCACCAGAGCTCCCAGACTGGAACAATGAGCCTAAATACTTAACATTGAAGGAAGCTGATTTTTGCATTCAAGCTAATAGCTCCCTCTGCTGACCATGGTATTCAATCCCACTAATGCTCAGATCTTAGTTGAATTTTCTCTTTGAATATTAAGTAAAGTGGGTGTGCCAGCAGCTAGGGCTAGAAATCTTTTCTTATCTAGTTATTTTCATTGTGAGGGTGTTTGTGTTCATGTGTTTGGGCTCCTGTTACCCACCACCCCATCCTCTCCATATGGTGAAGTAGGAACAACGTGTCTGGGAATCAAGTCCCTGGGACAGATCACTTAGCCTGTTTTATAAAATAGCGGGAATACATGACCCCTTCTGTCAGTAATAATAATCTGTGATGAGAGGTAGGTGTTAGTCAGACGTAACTGTGAAAAGACAGAGTCTCATGTAGTGGCACCCTAGAAAACATTATAGAAGGTGGAGCATAAAAATAGCCTTGCAGGTAATGCTACTGATTTAAAGGATAAGAGACATCATTTGCCTAAGGTAAGAGCTGTTTAGGTCATAATTTATTATAAGTTAAGAAAGAAAAGAATTTATAGTTTAAGAACTCAAATATTAGTGAAACAGAAATATTATTTGAAAGCATGGAAATGACTAATTCCGTATCCATCTGTTTTAGACCAGTTGGGGCTGAAAACTGTACACATTCAGCTTTAATGCACATTTAATAATTATCATAATTATAGTTGCCATGTAGCTGTTAGACACCTGTTGTATACTAGATGCTTCATGTTCGTTATCTTTGTAATCCTCAGGATTAACCCCCCACCATTTTACAGGCTTAGAATAGTTCATTCACTTTCCCAAAGTCCCTAAGACAGGCTATGGCAAAGCCCAGGTCTGAACCCAGATCTTTTGTCTCCCAGGCCAGTGCTCATCCTCCCACATCTCAGCTCTCGACAATGCAAACAGTAGTTAAGAATTCAGTGGCGAGTTCTTGAGGAGCCCTGGTGGCGTAGTGCCTAAGACATTTGACTGCTAACCAGTAGGCTGGCGATTCAAACCCACCAGCCGCTCCTTGGAAGGAAGGTTGAGCAGTCTACTTCTGTAGTGATACCACCTCAGAAATCCAAGGAGGGGTCGCAATGAGTTGGATCTGACTCGAGGGAAGTGAGTTTCTGTGAGTTTAAGGTGAGTTCTTAGGCAGGGGAAGTTCACTACATTCATTGATATCCCTGAGTAAATGGTGTGATTGCTTGCACAGGCCTAATGCCCAGGTTCCCTCAGTGAGATGACCAAGGACACACATTGAGTTGCCCTGTTGACAAGAATTATAATGTGTTTTCTTCGTGTAGAAGGCAAAGTTTAATCCTGAAGTATTGATGATCCAAGAGATGTTGCCAACAGGAACTCAGCTTAATAGGGAAGATATCATAAACATGGATCTTTAAAAGGAATTATTTAATTACAGCATTGGCCCAGATTGATAATAATTTAAACTTGTTATAAAATGTTTTAGAAATCATAGAAGACCAATAAAGGAAAAAAATTAAAACTGTCCATATCCTTGCTACCCAGTAAAAACCATTTTTAACATTCTTGTGTTTTGACTTCTTAGCTTTTATTTCTATATATTTTTATATATGTAGTCTTTTAAACATTGATTTAATTTGATATACTTATCTGAAGATCTACATACATGTTTATGTTTATGTTAATATATCTGCATATGTATATTATATAATTTCTTTAGTTTGTATACTTACTGTGCATATGCATATAATTTTTTTCCACATGTAGATTGTAATATAATTTTACTTTCATTTCTCCCACTTAATATATTCTAACGTGACTTTTTTAAATGCCATAAAAGAGTCTTTGAAAATCATTGTTTTTTAGTGACTATATAATACAGCCCTAATACTAAAAATACAAAAAACAAACTCACTGCCATCAAGTCAGTTCTGACTTATAGCAGCCCCTATTGGGTTTCCAAAGTGGTAAATCTTCAAGGAAGTAGATTGTCCCATCATCCTTCCACAGAGCAGCTGGTGAGTTTGCACTGCCAACCTTCTGGTTAGCAGTCCCGTGCCCTAGGCACTGTACCACCAAAGCCCCTTCCCGTTATATTGAGGTAACCATTAATTTATTTGTGTAGTCTATTGTTATCATAGTTAGTTGCCGCCAAGTCAGTTCTGAGTAATAGCAACCCCCATGTGTGCAGAATTGGGTTTTCACCAGGCCTGTCTTCCAGGGCACATATGTTGTTGTTGTTGTTGTTGTTGTTGTTGTTGTTGTTGTTATGTGCCATCGAGTCAGACGTGACTCATAGCGACCCCTCCTTGGGTTTCCGAGGCAGTATCACTACGGAAGTAGATTGCCCCATCTTCCTTCCGAGGAGTGGCTGGTGGGTTTGAACCGCCAGCCTTTTGGTTAGCAGTCAAGTACCTTAGGCACTATGCCACCAGAGCTCCCCCCAGGGCACATATAGCTGGGTTCAAACTACTAACCTTTTGCCTTGTAGTTAAGCATTTAACCATTTGTGCCATCCAGGGACTCAGCACAGGACCTAGACTTTCATCACAATGAAAATGACCCCAGACTTCCATAACAATTGAATATTGCTAGATGGGGGTAGGTGTAAACCACCAACCTTTCAGCTGGTAGTCAAGCGCTTAACCTTTTGCACCACTCAGGGACTGCTTGTCTGATTTACTGCTTGCCCACTCCTCGAAAGGAAGACTGGACAATCTACTTCCATAGTGATACTACCTTGGCAACCCAAGGAAGGGTCACTATGAGTCGGGGCCGACTCGATGGCACATAACAACAACAACGACAAGGTCGTTACTAAAAAGCTCTGGTGGTATAGTGGTTATGGTATTTGGCTGCTAACCAAAAATCGGTGGTTTGAACCACCAGCTGCTCTGTGGAAGAAAGATGGGGTAGGGTAGTCTACTTCCATAAAGATTTACAGCCCTGGAAACCCAGTGGGGGTTGCTGTGAGCCAGAATCAATAGTGAGTTTGGTTTTGAATTTTGTTATTACAAATAGAACAGCATCTATTTATACGCATCTTTGATTAAAACTCTTACTTCCTCAAAACAGATCCCTAGAAGTAGAATTGCTATGTCAGATACCAGAAGTTAAAATCACAATTTATATTTTTGAGTGCTTGCCATGTACTAGACATTGTGTTCAACACTTTACCTGAATAAAATTGTTAGTTTCATAACTCTGGGATAGATTCTCTTATTTCCCTGTTTATAGACAAAGAAATCTAAGACACAGAGATGAGATAAATGTACTCAAAGTCATAGGGTAAGCACACTTTGAAGGCTCTTGATACTATTGCCAATAATTTTGTTTTAAGGTTGCTGCTTTTTAAGAAAATAGGTTATGCTAAGCATTTAGCAACAGCCTTATCAGTAGAGGAATTGAGTTTGCAGTTAGATAGTTCCTTTCAGCCTCTTTTATTCTCCAAATAGTCCCTACATTGGAGGGCCTTTTAGTTTCCTAACATGTGCCAATTAGCAGAGCCAAATTCTGTTTAACAAACCCTGAGTTACTCAAGGGCACATTTTTTGCATTCAAGGAATTTGACTTACTTGCCAGTAAATAGTGAGATTTAATCTCAAAGCACTGGTACTCTACTGAACTGATGATGCCTGATCCAGGTGCTACCTCCAGCCTGGTCATTAACCAGCCTTCATTTGACCCTTTGTGCCTTTACTTGCCTCTTCAGTCAAACCAGAGAGTTGAGATCTGTCATTGGTTCCCCAACGGACTTGGCTGCATCACAGTCCTCTAGGCATCTTTGAGAAAAACATAATCCTGGTCCCCACTCTAGAGAAACTTGAATTTTTTTTTAATTTTACTTAAAATTCATGTGCATAGGGATTTTTTTCAAGTAAAAAAATGCAATAAGTTTTGTAATAAAAAACAGCCATCCACCAGTACATACTTCCCAGACTCTCTCTTTCGACGAGATAGCTATTTCTTCCAATATTTGCCTCCCTATTTCTAAAACTATTCAATGTTCTTTGTGGGTTTGCTAATTTTAGTCACTAGTATTGACTTCTTGTTATAATAAATTAGAATTTAGCTCTCTTAGACCTCCTTGCCCCTGCCTCACTTCCCCTGCCCCACCTTCACAGTGTAGGTCTACCACAAGATTTTGTTCAGTTATTTGTCAGTGTCAACATTATTATGATAAGACAAAATTCTATTCTTTTTCTTTATTCTTACCCAACTGTTATATTTTCCCCTTACAATCAGATCTCTAAATTGACCATCATTTTGAACTTGTCAACATATCAATTATCTGTTCTTCCTTCCTCCTCCACCCCCAGCATCTCTTCCAGAAACTTCTAAGCTCTTACTCCAATCTGAATTAGTTTTTCTTTAGGCCTGATACACTACTGTTGCCCTAGGACTGTCCTTCACAACTTTTCCTGTATTAGATTCCCCACTCAACCCCAGTATCATTTCCCAGGTTCTGTAACTAACTATATCTTTTTATTATTATTATTATTATTTTATTTTTACTGTGATTTGGCTAAACGTTTATAGAACCAATTCATTTTCCATACAGCAGTTCATACACATTTTGTCTAAAGACATCAACTGCAATTTCTCACAATGTAATAGCTCTCTTCCCACTTCCTCCTCATAGTTACCTCTTCCCTGTGTCCTTCCCTCCCATGCACTCCTGCTCCACCCCCACACCCCAGCTGTCTCCCTGTGCATGCACTGCCCTTCTGTTCTCCCATGATTGATCTCTCCAAGGAGTGTATCTACCTGATGTAAATGTTCAGCCTATATACCTGTCTTTTATTTGGATGGAAGCCACAGAAGTGAGTTCAATTCCTGACCTGAAGGGGTCTCACTAGGCTCTGTCAGAATAGCAAACCTGGTCTTTTTTCTTTTTTAATAATTTTGAATTTTGTTCCACATTGTTCTCTACAGCTAACTATATCTTGACCTAATCTATCATTTTGGTGGTGTCCATCCTCCAGTAACTTCCTTTCATGGTTTAAGGGAACTATATTTTTAGTTTCTGCGTATTTGAAAATGTCTTTATTCTAGTTGTTGTTGTTGTTATATGCCTTCGAGTCGGCCCCGACTCATAGCGACCCCTCCTTGGGTTTCCGAGGCAGTATCACTACGGAAGTAGGATTGATCAACCTTCCTTCCGAGGAGTGGCTGGTGGGTTTGAACCGCCCAGCCTTCTTGGTTAGCAGTCAAATGCCTTAGGCACTATGCTACCAGAGCTCCCATTATTCTAGAGTGATCCAGAATTAGATTGAAAAATCATAATCTAGATTAAAAAGCATAATCTTTTTTCTAGAGCAATGGTTTTGTTGGATATAGAATTCTAGGTTAATAATAATTTTCCCTCAGAATTTTGAAGACTTTATTGTCTTCCAGCTTCCAGTGATATGATTATAAAATCTAAAGTCATTCCAGTCCCTGCTCCATTGTATATAAACTGTTCCTTACCCCCAATTCTGGATGATTTTATGATCTTTATCCCCACATTCTAAAATTTCATGATGTTATTCTTTTGGTTTTTATCATTCATTGTTATGAACCCTTGGTTAGATCTTTAAATCTGGAGACTCATATCCTTCAGTTCTGGGAGGTTTTCTCATATTATGTTTTTGGGTACTTGCTTTCCCTTCATTTTCTGCTCTTTCTCCCTTGAACACCAGTCATTATTTGAGTACTTACTATGTGTCTGTCAGTGGTCCAGATACTGTGTACATTTCCTGTTAATCCTTAAAATAAAGTGATACTTAGTCCTTGTCTATACAAACTAAGGTTCTAGGTGTTTAAGCACCTTGCTCAGATTCCTCAAAAGAACATATGAAAGTTCTGGGATCCAAATCCAGGTTGGCTTAACTCAAGTCTGTGCTTTCTTTAACCACTGCATGATAAAACCAGTCAGTCTCTTATTGCAGCAAGGGGTAGACTGATTCTCAAAGATTTCCAAAGTATAAGACAGCTCAGGAGAGCAACTGGAAAATATCCAAGATTATTCAAAAAGCATCCAGAAATCTCAGCAAAGCCAACCCAATAGATGTCAGAAAGCAAGATTTAGCAAGCTTAGGGAGTAGTTGGCCAGCAGAAGGAACGTAAGTACCCTAGGAAATCTTCCATTAGAGAAGTAGCATGGTGGGGCTGAAAATGCAAAGAAATGATCCTGAACTCAGATCCTGGCTCTGTCACTCCTTGGCTCTGTGACCTTTATCTGTAAAGTGGAGATACAACAACTTACTATTCAGAGTCCTTACAAAGATCAACTGGGATTTTAAAAATGCTAAAGCATCAGTACACAAGCAAGCATTAGCTCCCCTCCCTTTTAGAAAATATTCAAGGGTACAAGGGAAATATTATCCATGTGGAGGAGAATAGGAGACATACAGAGAAACATACAGAGATGAGGCACAAATAGAGCAGGGGGGCCTAGGAGGCTGGCCATGTGGGAACAAAGATCGTGATAGCAACATGAACATACGTAATCCTTATGATTCAAGATTAAACTGTAAATAAGAAGGGAGCTTTTCTCAAACGCACTGTCAGCATTTCCTGACTTGAGGCCATTATTATTCTTTAAGATGGTCCAAGTACATACTTGGCTCTTCCAGCCAAAGTTATTTGACTTGGTGCTGGATACATACATGATTTTAAAGGATCCATCAGTTAGAGGGATGTATTCCTATTTCTTTACCCTTTTTCTCCTCAGCTCTGTGTGTGTGTGTGTGTTTGTACACATGAATGTGTGTGCAAGAGAGACAAAAATGGTACAGATTCTCATGGGCAGTTCTTTTGCAGTTAGCTCTGAGGGCAGCTCCATCCTATGAAGATTTTGTGGCTGCGTTAACCATCAAGGAAGGTGACCACCAGAAAGAAGCCTTCAGTATTGGGATGCAGAGGGACCTCAGCCTTTACCTCCCTGCCATGGAAAAGCAGCTGGCAATACTGGACACTTTATATGAGGTCCACGGACTGGAGTCTGACGAGGTGGTATGACCTCTGCGGGACAGTGCCGCCTCCTTACTTTAGGGAAAAAAGTTTGCTAGAGTATTTTGTTGCCCTACTTAATTTTAAGCGACAGCTTCTACTTTCTCCAGCCCATTATTTTGGAAGGTGGAGAGGCAGAGCCGAAACCCAGTGCTTTTATATATAATTTTTTAAAATGCATATGTATTTTGTGTTTTCAAAAATCAAGGTGCTATATATTTCAGTTTAAAGGGCCAACTGGAAACCAAATTATATAGCTAAGCTCTGTCTTGCTGTTACAGACTTAAACAGCAAGTTATAATAGCAGATTTGACAAATGAATTGGTTGACATTGTGCTTTGTTTTTATTTTATTTTTATTTTTAATGAGCCACCTGTACCCAAGCTGAAATGAGCAAATTCTATACCAGTGTTTCAGCCAGCTTAGACTGAAAACTTGAAGGGAATTTAAGCCCCTTTATTGAAGCTATTGAAAGGTAAACTTTGCTGTTATTCTTAGTTCTTCAGTGGGTCCTCTTCTCCATGGTTCTCTTGACTAGTAGAGCCTGGGTAGTCAAAGTATTGAGAACATCAGTGTGATCCTGTGACTGTAGGAGATGGAGAAGATACAAGGAGTGCCAGCCAGCCATATTTCCAGGGGGGAGACTGTGACTCCCTAGGCATGAGTGGCATGCCCTTACACCAAAATGGAAGAGGTGGGCCAAACTGTGCGAGATAACACACATCTAGTGCCCAACTTTTGCCAGAGTGCTTTCCCATACTTGATTTCATTTGGACACCACAGCAAAATTGTGACATTCACAGGGAACCATTACCCTGTTTCAAAAGTAAGGCTTTAGAGGGTGAGTGATTTGCTCAGTCATGCAACCTCTAAATAGAGGAACTGGGACTTAAACACATGTCTCCAGTGATTTCAAAGTGGGAGGATATTTCAGGAAAGCTAGTGATGAAACAACAAAAAAAAATGCATATGTATTTTCTCATTATGGTGTGTGGACCATCTCTGCATCAAAATCATATGGAGTGCTTATTTTAAAAGCACATTTGCAGACCTTACCCTGACCTAAATAATCAGGGTCTTAGGGTTGGGGCTCAGGAATATGCATCATGCATAAGAAACTTTCCAGGTGATTCTTACGCACACAGGGTAGAAAAAGCACTAAATTAAATTCTAGTGTACAGAATCCCTAGTCTTCTACATAACCTAAATGATGTGCCCTTTTGTTCCATAGGCTGTCCTTTAAATAAAATAATTAAAGGGAGAGAAGGAAGGGATGCAAGTTTACTTGGCAACATTTTTAATTGACACAGCATCGGCACCCAGCCAGCAAGCCTAGGCGCTGCATCAGAGACCATGGTTCTGAGTGTACACTCTGATAAATCTTGGCTTAATCTCTATCGGAGTAAAGCAAATGAAATGCAGCTGCTTATCAGTCTCAAGAGCTTTAGGGTAGTGTCAGAGTTTAAAGATGAGACTTGAATATTTCATCAAATGACCTTGAAGAGGTAGTCTTCTTGAAAAGTGTGATGCCGAAACTGTGGCCCAAGTCCTTAGCAGGCTACTCTGCCAGGAATGTGCGTAGGAGGGAAGTCACAGATTCCTTCCCTCATTAGATACTACTGGCTTCTAGCTAGCTACAGGACAGGAGGTTCCAGCATGTGAGCCAGTTCCCTAGCTCGAAGGTGAGTTCTTTGAGGGTGCAGGTGAAGGCCACCTGAGCAGCCCCAGAAGCTGCTGTGGGTCTGCAGATCCATGGGGCAGAAAGAGTCCTCCCATTAGGCAGAGAAGCTCTTAGAGGGAGGAGTACAGACTGTCTTTTATCTGTCTTTATACAAATAGGCATTTATTTAGTTCAAATTAATGAAGCAGGTAAGCAAGCCCACACAAGGATTTTTGGAAAATTCTTAAATTTAGAAAAGCAACATCAAATGTTCTAAGACTGGAGTGCTATAATGATACTTTTGTATTTTTCATTTACTGTTGGCAGTGACTGAGGTGTGTGTGTTGTGTATTGTTTTTCCTTCCTCTCCCTTGTGTATTCACTGTGACACTCCTTGTCTGGCTGGAGGTGTGATGGAGAGAGGAGGGATTATTTTGGACTTCCTGCCCTTGACATATCCTCCTGAGAGGCAAAAAGAGAAAGCAACCACTCTTAGGTGGTAACTTTGAATAAAGATGCTTTAGGCATTGTGCTGTTGGGAGGGTATGATAGCAGGAGATTTTAAGTGTTCTGAGGCATGATAGTTCCAGAAACTGCTGGTTCTGCCTGTCTTCTCAGCTGCACTCATGCAACCTGTTGGACAGGAGGTAGGGACACTAAATATTCCTCAGATTTGCAGACACTGCTCTGACTGTATTTAAAAAAAAAAAAAAAAAAAAGCTGCTCCGGCCGGGCCACTTCATAGTATCGGTACTGCCTCAATGTATATGACTGAATTTTCTGGGAAACAGTTTAATATTATCTGTGATAATTGGGTACCCAGATCAGAATAACTTGAATAAGTTTACATTTTGTATTCACTCTTTGCTCAGCCCTATAGAAACAGGGTATGTTTTTTGATAGTTATTTTCCTTACTAGAGCATATTTAGTTTACCTAAGATATGTAAAGCTCTTAAATAAAAATAATTAGAAATTGAATTTAAGACTATACTGTAAATTCAACTTGACCTGAATGAAGCTGGGTGCAGACTGAGCTTTCTGCTGGACCTATGTTATTTGCTTCTCTGTTTTAGTTAAGGTAGTGATTTGTGCTAATTTGCAGTTACTTTTTAAGTAGGAGATGATGAGAAAAAATAGTTTTTCTCCATAATCCTGTAAGATTCCTGGAACATCCAAACGTTCTTTCACCCTGACAATGAGAGGAGATAAGAACGCTCTAGTATGTTTGTTGCCACAGTAACTACCTTGCTGTCATTGTTGAAAACATTTTTAAGATTCCTTTTCTAGAGTAACCTTTAGAGAAAACCTGAAGAAAATGGTAATGTGTCTTCAATGTATTAGAAGACGCCCATAAGCCACATTTGAATGACACCTTACAAAGCACTTTCACATACATTATTTCATCAAATTTGTACATGTCCATCAGTAGAAGCAGGATCTTACACATACTAGTTGTTTGTTGAATTTTGTTGAATGAAACAAAGTCTTTTCAATGATGACAAGTCTTGTCATTTGAAAGAAAATTCGATTCATTAAAGCTAATCCTAGTGGAAAATACTAAATTAGAGGAATACCTTGTGGCAAAACGAACTTTTGACTATCAAGTAGAGGTGATTTTCTCATCAGCTCTTGATACAGCATCTAAGTCAGTTTCAGAAGAGAGGGTCTCAGAATGCAGAGCATACCAGTCCCCGGGGAATCCATGTTGAAGAATACTGCTCATTAGAATGTGTAAATAGTGGTTTGCGAAACCCTGTCACTATTATGTGTGTGTCATTCTGAACATGAAGCTTTCCAAATATCATACTCCACAGTGAGGGATATCTCAGAGCCTTGCTGCTCTCTCTCTTCTCTGCTACTGAAGATAGCCCGCACTGCCCCCATCAGAGCTCCCCTTTGAGCTGTTCCGCCCCATTCCTCAGCAGCATCTTCTACACACACAGAGAGCATGTGGCACAGACCTAGCGCAGGGTTAGGTGCTCAATCAGTGGGGATTCCATTCCCCTCCTATATCAGATTACAAGAGCATGTTAAAGAGTCACGTTCCCATGTGTGGTTGTAAAGTAAGTGAATATCACAACATGTGGGCCTCTGAGAAAGGTAGTCTGCTGGTGACTGAGAGCTGCTGTGAATGTTTGCAATCTTTTCTCTTGGATTATTATGTATGTGTGTGTGTATATATATATGTATATATATAAGTTAATGCTTTCAAGTTTATATTTTCAGAACAGTATCTTTAATTTAGAAAAATATGTAGTAGGGACCAATAAATAAATTACACTTCATTCAATTTGAGGTGAGGGAAACCACTGAAGTAAGAGTTTCCTATTAAGGAAATTCAGTCTGATTGTGAAAATCGTATGTATAAAGAAATTTGAGACGAGGCAGTAGGGAAAGCCAGTGTCACAAGCAATATACAATGCTGCAAGGCATTTTGGAAACTGTGGAAAGAAACTATTTTTACGTTTTTTCCTATTAAATTTCCATGTCTTACAAGAAATTGATTACTTAATGGTGCACTTCTGAATCGTGTTAAAATCATTTGCTCCTGATTTTAGTCATAGGTTTTAAAACTATTTAGCTCTCCCATCCTCATGTTTCATTTCTTTTTAAAAAGTGACCTATCAACCTCTTTTAAATTTAAGAATTTTTAGATTTAGGATTTTTAAGTCATTATATTCTAAGCCATTGTTCTTTTAGCTGAGCTCATGTGTTTGGTCCTGGAGGGCCCGACATCGGATGCTCTTTGTGATCTCATATAGCCTGTAGACCGTAAGCCTGTATCCCTGTGAAATGTACATAGAATGCTTTATTTAGGGATGTGTCCTGCTTCTGTGTGTCCCTTTGTAATCTGCAGTTGCTTACTCAGGGGTTTCATAGTAATGATATGTATATACATACATACATATATATATATATATATATAAATTTCACTTAGCTGCCCAATGGTATTTTAAGACTGCTTCTATTACAAGGTTGTTAGGGGCCCTTTCAGTAATTCCATAAACATGCTGTTACTAGACCTTCCCTGTAAACCTGTAAACACTCCCAGTTCCCATTCTGTCTCCATCAGTAGTCCTATGTACGGTGGCCATTTGCATGATTTCTCATTGCACTGCTGCATTAAGGCACTCCAGAGCATGACTTAAATGATCATTGACGGTACCTCTCAGGTACAGTGGATGCATGCATTGATCCTTCTCCTCCACTGTTTCCCTTAATTAAAAGGAAAAAAAATACACCATGGTTCTGTAATACGAAAGTTTAAAAAAGTCTTTGGTTACCCTTATTAATCACTTTTTCAGAGTGAGCAGATGTTTTCAGCTGAGCTATGTGAGAACCAAGACT